TTGTCTTGAGATACAGGGAAAATTTGCTATTTGCCATTGCTGGATCCACATTTCACATCCAGCCATCATAAATTCACATTACTTTTCTTGCAATAAAAAGCAATATCAGCCGGTGGAAGTAATTCGCCATTAAGATGGTTTGCCAACTGCCAATAGATGCCACAGCGTAATGAGGATAATACAGTAGTCCAGGTAGAGTTGTGATTTGTGCTCACATTTTCCGTATTTGCAAGTTGTATGGGGAGCAAATGAGATTATGTTGTTGTACAGTACAAGACAGTTGATTGTAATTTTTCATCTAAAAAATACATTATGGGTGTTTTTTTTTGTCGGGGCTGGTACAGATTAATTGTATTTCCTTTCATTTCAATGGGAAAAGATGATTTTAGATACAAGTGTGGTCATGGAACAAATGAAACGGATACCTCAAGGCACAGAAAGTAATATTATTCTTTTTTGTCATTCATTAGAACAAACTTATATGTCAAATGCATGTACAAACGAGATTTGGAGAGACTTTTATGACATGCAGTGAATTGCATGGGCCTAGCAACCGAGCTGATAAGGCATACGATCATGTTGCATATTACGCTTTGTTCCATTGTGAGTGCTCAAAGTGATTGTTCACCCACCAGTCTTGAATCGCTATTTCTGGTTGGAAATCATCCAGCAGCTCTTCCCAGAGCCCCTCTGCCTTCAGATCCACAGTCTGCTCCAGGGTAAACCAACTGGCAAAGAAAGAAATAAGATTTTACTCTACACTTTCAGTTTACTACGCCTCTAGCCTGAATTCTAATGGTTTCACTAAATAAAAAGTAAAAATGATTTGCCATTAATTATGCTAACTATAAATACAAATTCGGCATATGGATCATTTACCATCTATTCCACAATGAGACGTACAGTACCTGAACTGAGGCAAAGCACAGATAACAGCCCCTTCCGGAATGCCACTGGTATCATAAGGGAGAACTTCTGTGTTGGTGGTCCAGCCACTGAAGTCACCTGTGAATTAAACTTCAGATGGTTTACATCATGCTTCTCACATGCTTGTCAAACGCGGCAATCAGTCGCATTTTCTACCTTCGGGTTGAAAAATGGGAGGGCCATGCACGGGAACTTCTGGCAGCTCAGGTTCAGGTGGAGCGATATCTTTACTCAACCCTATGCATTGAGGACAAAGGAACACACCACACCTGTTGATTAGTCCACAGCAAATATTACATAGCCATGTCTGTCGTACAAGTTTGCTGGGTGTGCCTCGGTAGGAATGCACATTAATCTTACATTTACACCCTGGTGGACTTTCAGCAAAAAATGTCTAATATTGCATATTACTTTCAAATACTGAGGAGTAAATGGGAATATCTTCAAGTAACAAAAAATCAAACTGTACAATGAAACAACAAGATATTTACAAGGTGTCAATTTGACCACTACATTGAGTGACTTGTGCCACCCATTTAGTATTTCCAAAAAATATGACAAGCTAACAAATCTAGAGACTTTTGTAGCGTTATTGGAGACGTCTGGAGACTCTGAGGAAGTGAAGAGTCCCAACTATTTGTATACTGTACACCCATCCATCCAATTTCATATCATTTATTCTCATGATCATGGTCAAGTGTTCTGAAATCCTGCTTCCATGTCAGCGATGCAGGACAATGCTGCCTTTTTTTTTTTTGCTATGACTTGTTTATGGACAGAGCTTAGCTTCCCTATTCATAACCTTTTCTTTTCAGTGCTAAGGAATACAGGAATGCTATTTTCTAAAAGATAGATTAATCAACAATCAGTTCCACATGACTGTCTGAATGTGTGTTGTTTCATCGCTTATTACCTTATTTTACACTGGTTAGATGTAGTTATTGCAATGATGTTGAGAATACAAAAAAAAATCTCAGAACATACATTTCACATTCTTAGAATATTGTGTGGATTGTATAAAATATACGTATATGCATAACGTGTTTTTAATCAACTCACACGATTAAATGAGACCTATGAGAGCCCTATATTTATGCAAGATATTTGAGGGGCGGGTATTAAGGG